CGACATGTGCCTCAATAGATCGACCGATGCACCTGCTCTACCATCGATCGATAACACCAATACACCATCCAAGGTAAAAACACATAATTTTGATTTCACATTAATAACTCCGGATGAATTTTGTATTTTCAGGGATCCAGAAGGTCATGCACGAGCACTAGATGGAAGAATCATTCCAATCTCCAAAGAAGACGTTGCAGACATCCTTCAGATGGCCAATGGACCAGTCAGTCCCTACACACAACCACCCATCTACCAGAACGATCAGCACCAACCACAAACACCCATCTAACAGAACGATCAGCACCAACCACAAACACTTCATGAGCAAGATGGTGCAGAAAACCTTCATTCCAACTCAGCAAATCCAGAATTTCAACGCCTATCGATCGATACCTGGAAACAAGCATCAACCGATATACATCGCGAGTTTGGAAAGAGAGCTTTCAAACACGGAGTTCGTCGTTTCTTCTGGGAACAGAAAGGCGAATCTGGTGTCTACAGAGATGAGAATGGTTATGCAAGAAGCATCGCTGGTGACATCATCCATGTTTACAAAGATGATATTAGGAAGCTGCTAAATAGAGCCACACTATTTGAGCGCTCTTGTTTCTGTTTACCAGAGCATGCTGAACAGTTTACTAAAGAAGTTCCAGTTTGCAAGCTCTACACACAAGCAGAGGTTACATACATGCTGAATGAAAGAACCGGTGAACATAACTGGGAGATGGCAGGATTGAGGTCTGAACATGAGAAAGCAATATCATCACTTCAAGGAGAACTACTATGGAACCTGTTTGGCAATGACTTCGCTCGCAAAGAAAGAAAAGCCCTGCAAGAGAGGTAAATGCACTTCGCAAAGAACTCGAGTCTCAGAGACGGACATTGACCGATACAAACCCATCATCATCGATCGACACGACCTTCGACAAACATATCGAGAGTCACTTACAGAAGCTATCAATCGATGATATACCCAGCAAATCGACCGATACTCGCGCACCAGAATACTGTACCAGAGAAGAAATTGAAGAAATCACAAGGGAGATCTACAGATCTATTGAAGCATGTGAAGACGGAGCACATAGATCACTCGACAAATTTCGGTAAAGGGTGACGTTCAAGGATTGAAGTGCACAACAGAGGACATTCAGCAGGAGATCGAAAACATCAAGAACCAGCTCGCGAGCCACCCTGCACAATCCGCATCGATAGACGAGCCACTGCACCAATCGACCGATAGACCTACACCGAAATCGATCGATACCATCCCTTCCCCTGTGCAAAACACCCAACACCTCAACACACTGAAGATGAGTACTGATCTAGAGCACACCTACAGCAACATTGACGACATGAGTGCAGTTTAGCAAGCATTGAGGAGTGGCTACAGAGAATCCACTATGAGATCCATGGTTTGCAAGCTAGTATGACCAGAAGCGAGAAAGCCACAAGAAGCTTTTTAACTTCATGGTTTGAAGAATCACAAGACAAGGAGGATACTTGTTTCCCAACAAGTACCTGCAACCCACCTCACTAGCCACCATACCTCCATAGTCAAGCTACATGACTTTAACTAAGTGCTGAGTGGGAGGCAATCCATTGTTAGGTATTTTCTTACTTAGTTTTATTTTATTTTTACTTATTACTTTCGTTTTTTATTTGTTTTTAGGAACATAGCTACACGATCACTACCTCTATCGACCGATGAGACCATGTCTACATCGCCCGACATAACCCTATCCATGAAGATCGATGGAAGTGACTCACCATCGATGGATACGAACATCGGTCAGGTATATCGTTCACAATTTCGATATCAGTTATACATTTATTGTTTCTATGATCTAACTCCGACTAGTTATACACTGAGGACAGTGTATGATTTAGGTCTGGGGGAGTGGAATTACTGATGCTACTATACCTTTTTGATCTCTTTAAAAAGCTTTCAAAAATTGGTTTTATTGAGTCAAGAAAGGGACCAAAAGATTTCAAAAAATTTTACTTTTTTTAATCTTACAACTCTTTAGCACAATTCTTAGAATTTTTGATTGCAAAAAGTACTATAGATGCTAAAGTGGATCACCGATCATCCTATGACAACACTTTTCATGATTGTTTGGAAGAACCAAAGCTGATTTCCAATCTAGCCTGACATCTATTGCTTGTCTTGGGGCTTGGTATACAAGGGATCAGAATCCTCATGCAAGTCTGGAAGGTAAAAGTCTCAAAAATTTTGGTTTCTTTCTCTCCTTCCTTTGGCATCCCATAAAGAGAAAAATAAAAGATTGAGATGATTTCCTGAGAGGCAGAGGGAGAGGTACATTACCTATGACCCCACTATTCTAAATCAAAGGAATGATCACACATTGTGGAAGCGAGGGAGAGGTAAATTACCTATGACCCCACTATTCGCCTACACTTTGTCAGAAAAGACTACAAAAAGTAGAAAGATCAATAAGATGAACACCTGTTGTTCATTGGGATTGATATAAAAGAAAAGAAAGTTTGGGATTCAGAGAAGGGGGATATAGGGAGAAAAGAAACAAGAATGAGAATGCCTGAAACTTGCTTGAGTTGAATCCAAGTGTTCCTTGATCGATACTCCCAAGGTAAAGCCTACACCTTTATTTTATGCATAAATGAAATCAGTAGAGGGGATAGACAGACAAGATTTTTTAAGTTGATTGGCTAGATGAATTTGGTTGCTAAGTTAGGATATGGTATAATGTACTTCTGTAGTTAGTAATAGGAGATGTGGCTTGCAACAAAGTAGAGGTGATGATTTTAAAGTTAAAGATTTTATTGAGTCCCTACTGCTCTTAAACTCCTTCCAAAAGACTAACTAATGGTTTGCTTGAGGACAAACAAAAGGTTAAGTCTGGGGGAGTTGATATACCATGATTTTGACCCACTTTTAGCCATGGTATTGATATGTTTTTATAAGTTATATATATGTTTTGGAGTCTATCAGGTTTGTTTTCGGGTTCAGGAGCATTTTGGAGTAAAGTGATGATTTAGGTGCCCTTATGTAGCTTAAAGGAGAGTTTTCCGAGATGACTATGAAGATCAGACAACAAGGATACATATCGATCGATACACACCCTATGTAATCGATCGATGATGCTTCTATTGAAGATAAAGTCGAGATACTCCATCCATCGATGTACACCATGTACCATCGATCGATATCAAGCGTGGAGAACAAGTCTGAGTTGGCCGACTTGAAGCCCAAGATTTTCCAATATTACAAGATTGCCCCTGATGAGTTTTTAACCTAATGGAACTCATATTTATAGTTATGCCTATGTTTTTTGGCAAAGCATGCTTTTGAATGCTTTGTGTGCTTTTATGTTTTGAATACCTTTTGTTACTTCTTAAGCTTTGCTTGTTTTTAATTGAAGTATTCTTTTCATCTCAATTCTCAAAGGTTTTAGAATTCTAGATTTAGAAGAAACACACAAAGAGATTTGTTGTTCCAAAGAACCAAGAGTTCAATCTTATGAATTTCTATTATTACCTTGTTGTTATGAATCTCTTAGCCATGTCTGAGTAGGATTCTTTGTTAGATTTAGGGTTCACATAGTTATGAGGGATTAGCCCCAACTATGGAATGTTGAGTCGTGATATCCATTATCCGAATGAACCCTAATGCTTACTCTAGAGTAGCTAACTTGAGTATGATCATGGAGTGATTTAACTTGTTAAAACATTATCCTGAAATCATTTGGCATAAGCTTAGATCCTCTAGGGATGTGTGAGAGCCGGTCTATGATCTTGGTGAACACAGTTTCGATTCGATCTTATGCTATATCGATCGATACTCCTATAGAGTTATCGATCGACGGCAACCCATATCGTCCAATATCGCTGTCAAAACATCGGTCGATATTGCCGGCAATAAGATCAATGGATGAGTCTATTTAGCGACTGCTATTGGATTTGTTTAAGAATCGAAGTTCTTATATATCTTGCAAGCAACTTACTAAAACATCTGTAGCATTATAATCCTGATTATCTGAATAGCGACCTTGAATCTAACTACTTTCTTTTATTGTCTTGAACCAAAACCTATTCTCTTGAGCAACTTACTATTGCTCACAACTGCAATTTGCTATTTTTACTGAATCAACCTAGCATAATCACTTAAGATTACATTTTTTATGTTGGATTAAATATTTGAGTGATATCAACAAGCCACCTTTGCCTGCTCTTTAACAGAAGCTGAGTACCGATCGATTACTTCCATAGCTGCTGAAGTTTGTTGGCTCATGTCATTGATCACTGAAATACAGGTTCCGATAGCAGCTACACCAACAGTCTAATGTGATAAAATTGGAGTAGCCTACCTTGCAGCCAACCTTGTTTTCCACTCAAGAATGAAGCACCTAGCTCTTAATTACCACTTCCTAATGTCCCTTATGTTAATCAACTGGCAGATGCACTCACCAAACCCCTCACACGTTCAAGACATCACTCTGTGCAGCAAGATCGGTCTCACTAAAGGCGGTCCGTCTTGAGAGGACATATAGAAATAAGAATGTATATACACAATCATAGCAATATATTCTCATGGTCAATCACATTAATCTTTGTATATTTGTACGCCTTAATGTGCTCCTTCTTACCTGTATATTAGAGAGACTCTCTCTGTCAACAAGATTATCGAATTCCATAATTTAATAGATTCTAGCTATGATATTTGTTAACTTTTTCCTCTACAATAGAAAATTAAAGATCTTAACAAATGAATGGTTAGCTAAAAGAATCTCAGATATTATGGATTAAGAATTGGTCAAATATTGTATATATATATATGAGAACTAAGTCAAAGTATCACTGTTTGATTAGAAGTCAAATATTGTATATAGTACATATTATATAGTCAAACTCTTCGTATACAATATAACAACTACTTGACTCAGGAGTAAAGCTAACCAACTCATATTAACTTTTACATGCACATGAATCAGTCGTATGTTCCTTTTTGTTATCAACTCGTAAATCTTAGTAGGATTCATTTATATTAATTACGAAAACACAAATCTTTTACATCATTTTGCATGCGAGACAAAGAATAAATTATCAGAAAAGATAAATGAAATAGTAATCTAAGAATCCCAAATGGGACCAAAAGCAGGAACGCCAGAAGCCTTACAAGCATTAACAACGTCACGACTTCCTTCAGGATTGCTCGTAACAATCACAACTTGAGCTCCAAACTTCTTGGAAGCGTTCACGGTCATTTCAGACACGTTCGGTCGTCCTAGAATCGCAGTATCGTGAACTATGATCTTGTCTTGATGAGGATAATCTCTAATCCTATTCACAATCTCCGACCCGAAATTATCATCTAATCCTTTAGCCACCCATATCAGGTATACCTCGGCCTTACTCTGCTGCATGAGAAACGATAAAAATACACAAATTCCCGAACCGGTCGCCACAAGTAATACCTGTAAAAAATACATATTATACGTCAAATTTGTAATGGTATTTCAGTTTAAAAACGACGGAACTTAATAATAACAGATTTAGCAAAAATATTTTTTTTTTAATAATAAACAGTTTTATTAAACTTATAATTTTGTTGATCATCAACGTTTTCTACAAATCTTAAATGCAAAAAACATAAAACGTCAAAAAGTGCAAAAATAAAAATAAAAATCCTACCAAAATATATTAAGAGCTATTAATGCTCAACTGTCGGCAGACATATTTTGTAAATTAATTAAAATTCTAATAAATGGTCAAATATCCAACAAATAACCTGTTGAAATTTGTAACCAGTTAAATTATAAGTTTAAGAGAAATTTTATTTACCTTGTCATACAAGTTAATCAGATAGGGTAAGCCAGCAAAGTGAACCGTACGGACCCATAAATGACTCGGAGGTTTTGAGACTAAAGACTTTGTAAAGTCACCGACAGCACCAGCTAACATCATGTGAGATGTCTTCCCATCCGAGATAATCCCAAAAGCGTGCCATTCCGACAACGGCGATGGACTGATCCGACCCAAGATCCCTGCCTTCACACCTCCTCTAAACTTTATTAGCGAGGCATGGCCCGAGAGAGATGATACATCCACCGGAACACGTCTCACAGTCAACCAAGGGAGCAAAATCAAGACCGTGATAGCTAACGTGAACCAAAACTCTTGCCTTTTGATCAGCTTCGAGCCGAGACCATCAGTGTAAGTTCTTGTTACTGGATCGTAGGAGATTGTGAGAACTATAAACGCCCAGACAAGACCTAGAGCGGACCAGCCAGCGAATCTATGGACACGTTCAAAAACGTTGTGGTGTAGATGACGAACAAGTGGAAACGCGGCTAAGGAAGTGAGGCAGAGGAGAGAGAGAATCGCGGACGCAACAGCAATAATCGCTGTTGAAGTGTTATCCCTGTCTTTAAGAGTGAGAACCAAAGCGTAAACGAGCCAAGCGATTGAGGAAACGCCGCATCCGCTGTGGATACCTCCTAGGCTTTGTAAGAGCGACGTGACCGCGAGTTTGATTCGGACAGGGACAAAGGAGTGTCCGAGGATGTTCACGGTTAGGTAGAACACAAGTCTCAAAAAGGCTTCGCTTCTGCAGAGAGTTAGGGCAAGAATGTTTGCGATTGAAAACAGAGATGCTCTTTTTCTTGCGTAAGTGAAGTGTCCTGTCGCTGCGAGAACGAGAGCGAGGACGTTTAGAAACAATGAAATGATGAAGAGGCGTTTGTAAACGGTGAATAAGCCTTGATCAAGAAGTATGATCGATAGTCTTGAAGCGCGTTTCTTTGGAATAGGCGTTTGCTGCGGTTTCTCACTGTGTTTGCTTGCGGAAGAAGCAAGGATTGCCTTCTCGTCGTTTTCACTGTGTTGTTCGTCTCCTTCCTTGATTCCACCTTCTTCTAAATAGTAAAGACTGTCTCTTTCTTCATCTTCTTCCTCCTCCTCGTCGTTGTCGGAGTCCAAGTCGCAGAAATGGCTGCTGGCTCGGCTCATAGAGTGTTGCATCGATGAAGGGAAAACTTTTGAGGCGTTTCGCATGAAATCCCATGGAAGTTGAAACCTTCTACTTTCGGGTACAGCGTTTGCGTTGCGTTTTTGATCAGTTGTGTCGATAGCGAAAGGGTTTGCATGAGGTTTTATCTCAAACGCAACTCCTCGACAGCTAGAGAATCTCACTGTTGAAGCGTTTTCCATTTTTTTGTCTTCTATTTTGTTGGTTTAGAAGATTTTTTTTTTTTAAAGATGACTTGAGTTACAGGGCTAGTAAACCAGCGCTGCTTATCTTGTGTGAGGGTTTGTTCTAGCTTCATGAAGGGTATGTCTCTTTATATAATACTTTGGTACCACCATACTCCAATTTTCATCATTGACTAGAACAAATCCTTCGTTTTCACGTCATTTCTCTTTCTCTTCGAAGACAGTACCATATGAGTTCTACATTATTCGTCTTTGTTTGACTCTTGACTTTGAAGCTCTACGAATATGTCAAATGCCACTGATTAGCACATTCGTGTAAATATGATTGATATAACGTTTGATAAATATTATTTTTGTAAATGTAAATTACGAAATCGGTATTTTATTAATGGATCGCTAGACTAACAAACTAGCTTTGGATAGAGAAAAAATATATATATATATTTTACAAATCCAAAATTTATGTCGTGACATATGGAGATGCCTAATTTAAAATTTTGTTAGTGGTCATGTTTTTTTATTGTTTTTGCCTTTTATATAATAATAAAATGTAATCTGTATGGAGATCCCTCATTAACAAATAATCCCATCTAAGAGTAACTTTAACTATTAACTAGATTTTGACCCGCATTTTGAAAGCGTTTAAGTAATTTGAAAAAATGAAATAATGGTAATAGAAAGTAAAATTTATTGATATCACAATATTAGTTTCTTTTTCGTTTTCAATAACTTATGAAAGTTGTTTATGTTTATTTTAGATGTAAATTTTAATTTTATAATAAGTTTTACAATACTTTTGAAGGTTCAAAATGTAAAAGTGACATAGTAAATAATATTTTAATTTTCATATATATATATATACATATATATATATTAAAATTTGATTTTTAAATAATACTAAGCAAGAAAAATAATATTCAAATTAAATGAAATGTATTATTTACATAAAATTAGAATTAGTATTATTTACAAATTAAGGATAATATTAGTTACCAAAAATATAGGAAGAATTATGTTGTTTAGTTTAAATAAATAACTAGGTGTTTTGCCCGCATTTACGGACATAAACATTTTATAATTATTTTATTAATACATCTTTTATTAGTTAAAATATTATAATAATAAAATATTAATTCTGATTTATTTTTTGAAACCATAATATTTATACTTTCATTTAACAATTCTTACATATATTTCTTTGTAATTTATGTTCACTATTAAAAATAATTTTAATTAACATCAAATAATATTTTTCAATTATATAAAATTAAGAAGTTGACTTGATTAATATTTACTTATGTATTAACTATTGTTTTAATTTTTAACGTTTTTATCAAAATATATTTTTAGATAACATCACAATATATATCAGAGTTATCTTATTTAAAAAGATATTATTTAGATTTTGGATATTCTTATAATTATTATTAATTTTAGTTACTTATCTAATCAAAATCATTTAAATTCGTTTTTATTTTGTATGTAATCTATATATTATTTTCATTACGGGTATAAACGATATTAACCATTATAACTTTTAACGTAAGAGCTCCGTTGCGAAAAATCACTTCGCAAATAATAGTATAAATATAGATATTAAAATTAAATGTCAGTGACATAGCAGTGTAAATAACTTCAAAATTAATAAAAATTCTTAACAAAGATTCTATTTTAATAGTATAGATACCCGACCACAATTTCTTAACATTGTTATATTACTATTTATAGCTTAGTTTTACTAAGCAATTGTTTTTCTTTCAAAAAGTTAAAACTATTTAAAACATGACACTTGTAAAGTCAATATCTTCAAAGGTTCTTATAGAGCATGATTATCCCTAGGTTCTAAACACAAGTTTCTATAATAAAAATAATTAAAATAGTAAAAAGTTAAGAACAATAAAAGTGAAAAGTTCTAATTTTAAAGAAACGTTTCATATACTAATACACATATGTGTCATACATTTATAAATACATACATTAGTATAATATTAATATTTTTCCTTTTTAAGAACTTTTTACAGGGTTTTAACGATATCATGCTCTTAAGAACATCTTTAATCCATAGGGTGCTTATTTTTAATATTTTTTTAAATTTCTTTTTGTCTGCCTAAAAAAACAAATAATAAACCAATCGCAGGCTGCTACGTGTCAGTAGAACCCGCGAACAGTACAAACATTCCACCTAAAGCAGTGTTTATTTAAGCATTTTAAACATCAGTTTTATGGGGATTTTGTAGGGTCTACTCTAAGCATCTGCACAAACACCCTGCATTGATAATGGTCTAAAACCCTCACATGAAAACCAAATTGTCTCTCTTTTCTCTGTTTTTCTTTATTTTTTATTTTTAGATATCTTTCTTTTTATCACCACTAAGTGGTTTTTCTCACAATTTTTTTAAAGTTAATATTAGTAAACTACATTGTCTCCAAATTGTTAAACACTGATTCTAAAAAAAAAATTATTTATAAATTTTGAGCCACAAGCAACGGTTAATTTTCGAGGTACGTAACTTACGAAAATATTAATTTAAAAAGTAAAAGTTAAAAAGAAAAGTTAATGAATAATAAAATCGATTTTTTATAAAGAGACTTGTAAATTTATTGTGAGGCACTTTTCTTCAGATATCAATTTTCTACTAGCTAACTTTTTAAAAAACATTACATTTAATTGTATAACAAATTGTATTTAAAAATATTAATAAACTATTACTTAGATAGTCAATTTGAGAGACTGATCACCATATTATTAATGAGATACTCTTGAGAATATCATTAGTAGTGAGATACTTTTGAGCATATCTAATCAAATTAAACTTTTATTTTTATTCCTACGACATTATCAAAAAAAAAAAATCAAATCAAAGCAATAAGAAAATTACAGGTATACATAAAAGATCTCATAATTCTTTTTAGAATAGCTGAAAAGAAATACGGTTCTTTACATTAGATCTTTCTCTTCACTTTCTAAAATTTTAATTATTATATTAGTTAGATATGCCTGAGAAACCTATATTATTATATTAGTTTATTATTATATTAGTTAAATATGCCTGAGAAACTATAGGTTTCTCAGTTATGAGTGTCTCAAAAGATTTTATTATTCTTGGGTTAATAGTGTTGGCCTTCTAATACCACTTATGCTTTGGATGTATTCATACAATTCATCTATCTTATTCATGACTTAAGAATTGTTCACTCAGTTCACGGTCTTAATGCATTATCTCTGGGTGGATTCAGAGATCCACAACATCCACTATGAAGTATCGGAAAACATCTCTGATGTAGTTTACAAGATCATTACTCTCTATGTCCTGAGTATACAAACTCTAGTAAGTATAAAAGAGATACTACAAGAGTTTACATGGCTAAGAGCTAATACTAGAATATATATATCGATCTCTAACTTACTCTATATCTCTAAGAGATGCCATAGAAGCACTCCTCTGAGGCTTGAGGCTTCTGTCTACAAGAGTCTTAGCGTGTACTTAGAAATCCATGTCGTAATCTCTCTTACTGTGTATTGTTAATACTTAATCTAATGGATTTTAATGAATGGACTCATAAGTTGTATGTCCGTAACTTGTCTAAAACCGACCCAAACAGAATATACACGATGAAAACTTCACAAATAGATGTGTACTTTGAAGTACAGTATTGAGCAAAATAAGTATTTAGAACTTCTATTTCCAGAGAAAAAAAAGTAAATAAAAAGATATACAATGTGGACAAGAAAATATTTATACGTATAATAAGCTTACTTGGTAAACATACCATGACGATAATCTTGACCATTTCAATCAATAACGACCTAGTAATAAATAAACACACATCCTAAATCTTGTCTACTATTTTGTTCTCTGGCATCTATCCCTCTCTCTTTCTCTCGACTGTATCATTTAATTCACGACGTGTGACTATGTGACACTACACATGGTGTGCAGTGCAAGTTGACAGAGAACTTTTCAAACTGTAGTTCTTTTATTATATAATTAATTAAGAGTCACATTGCCGAATTGCTAGCCAACTTGTTGATTATTGCTTTAGTCGGTAGATGGTTTGATTTATATGACGCGATTTGATCATCGAGTGAGATACCGGCACAAGAATCGTGGAGGCTCCTAGGCAGAAAAATAATAGATATTTTAAAAATTAATTTATATTTTAAATAACTACTTAGTAGGTATTATATTTGATATATTTATTTC